TACATATGAAAAAACTGTGATGGAGTCATTTTGTCTTTGTTTATTCAGCACCTCCAAAACCATACTCTGTTGGGACAGATTTAAGGGGTAGTGATATCTGCTGCCAACAAGAGAGGAAGGAATGGTTGTGAAGAAAGCTTCTTTGCTTGTTTTTGAAGTCAAACATGCTTGGTTTCTGTCTAACCAATGAGTCTTTCTCTTCACAGAAGAAGGTCATGCTAAATATGTTCTTAGACACATTAATGGCTGACCCACCACCACAGTGCCTTGTATGGCTACCTCTTATGCACAGACTAGCCCACGTAGAAAATGGTAAGTTGATCAGTGTGAACATTTGAATTTCTCTCTCTCCCTCCCTGCATATTCCTCCTTATGCATAAAAGTTGCTCTATGAGATCATCAGGGTGTTCTTCTTAATAAGCACAACATGTGGAGAAAGAGAGACATGCCTCTGCATAGTAGACATGAGCTAATTGAGGCTCTGCCTTGCACATCCCTGAATGTTTAGGGGCACACTCATGCCTTGGCAAACACTGGTGCACCAATGCTGCCACAAAAGGTTCTTAGGAATCTGAATCCTGTATGTGGAACTGTACTTGCATGTTAGAATGCTTAAGACCCACTTCTTAGAGCTGTTGATCCCTCCTCACAGCAGAGGACCCCCTGAAACAAATGGAACTGCATGTAGGCTTTGTTTCAAAATGCTGCCTCATTCCTGGGCTACTTAGGTGGCTTTGAGAGAGTCACAGTTTCAGTCTTATTTAGGGATGGACACAAACTGAACCATGAAGCAAAATTCATCATGAATTTTGCCCTGTTCGTGGTTCACGAAGTTCATGATGGGTCTACTGTCACAAACTTCCACGAACATTTAAAGCAGTTTGTGGTAGTTCGTGGATGGAGCAGAAAGCAGGGGTTTAAAGGGACTTTCTGTTCCCCGCAAAAACAGCTGAGCAGTGGGGAGGCACTGCCTGCTGCTCAGCTGTTTTGGGCTGTCTTCTGCAGTCCCTTTAAACTTAAACGGGACTGCGCAAGACAGCTTAAAACAGCTAAGTGGTGGGAGCGCTTTCCCACAGCCAGCTGTTTTTCAGGCTGCTACTCTCTGTTGCTGTTTTTCAGACTTTCTGCAAACCCTGTTTAAAGGGACTATGGTCCCTTTCTCTTTTGTTGGTATTTTGTGTCTGTGTGCCTGTGCCTGGAAGTCATGGCAACCTCTGGCGACTCCTAGTGGGGGGTGGAGGACGTTCAAAGAAGTGGCTCGATAGCCTACCTCTGCCCCCGGCCCTGGTATTCTTTGGAGGTCTCCCATCCAAATACTTGCCAGGGTCAGCCCTGCTTAGCTTCTGAGATCTGACGAGATCGGGCTTGCCTGGGTTACCCAGGTCAGGGCAGACTGTGGTCCCTTTCACTGGAGTTGCAAACAAACCTGGTTTTTCCTGGTTCACGCCCATCCCTAGTCTTATTCCCAGCTCTGTACTCAAGCGTTTGTGTTGCGGTAAGGTCCCTGAGCCAAGGCCCCTATGGTCTTGAAACTCAGCTCAGTTGTGAACTGGGTGGCCTTAGCAAAGCAATTACCAGCCCTGTTCGCAGCCTCCCAGCCCTGTCCAATCCGTAACACAGGGATCATAACGGCTCTCCTCAGTTAATGGATTCTTGTTGGGATCGCTGAGATAATGCATGTGAAGTGCTTTGATTGCTTAGGGAAAACGCTACTTATTATCCTCATCGTTATTAATTGTGCAAATAGCAAAATGCCCATCATCATAAAGGGCTTGTATATTGAAAGGACCCCCAGGGACCTAATGCGTGCACCCACACTTCATTCTTCCATTGTCAGTGAAAGCCAGGCCATCCAATGTTGGGGTGGGGGGCAGACTAAAAGGCTGGCAACCTCATCCTTTCCTCCTACCAGTATGGCCTGATTCTGTGTTCTGTTTCTTGGCCATGTCAGTTGACATTTGGCTCTTCATTGTGGTTTTGGCTCCATTGCAGTGTTGTTCCCTAGGTATAGCTCTTTAGTTTCGCCGTGAGTGGCAGTACTTCCCTTGCACAAAATGCCTTGCCCTAATTTTACCCGTTTATAACCTCTGTCTAATGCAGTGATACTCAGTGGCTTGGGAGCCACCTGTGGCCCTTCTGAGCACCGTTCCCTAATTTGGCACCTGCCCCATGTGTCTGAAAGTGGGCAGAGCCCTTGCCTGAGGGGCTTGTGGATGGTAGTTGGCTCCCATCTTGAAATGGCCACTGCCAGGGTTGCCAGCTGCCCTATGAGGATCAGTTAAAACATTTTGAACTGTTTAGCATAGAAAAAAGGCAAGTAAGGAGAGACATAATAGAGGTTTATAAAATTATGCATGGTTTGGAGAGGGTGGACAGGGAAATCCCTCCCCCCCATAGTACTTGAATCTGGAGTCATCCACTGAAGCAGAAGGGTGGGAGATTCAGGACAAACAAAAGGAAGTATTTGTTCAAACAGCATATAGATAATTTGAGGAACTCACTGCCACGGTATGTGGTCCTAGCTGCCAACTTGGAAGGGTTTAAAAGAGGAGTAGACAAATTTATGGAGTACTGAGCTATTAGTGGCTACTACTCATGATGGATATCTACTCCCAAGGCAGTATGCCTCTTTAAATCAGTTGCTAGGGAGCACAGGCAGGATGATGCTGTTTCAGTCTTCCTGTTTATGGGCTTCCTGGAGGTAACTGGTTGGGCACTGTGTGAACAGAGTGCTGGAATAGTTGGGCCTTCAGTCTGATCTAGCTTGGCTCTTCTTATGTTCTTAAATATGGCTATTTTGGTTGAAGGTCATTGCTAAGGTGTGTCTCAGCGAACTGTGGAATGAGTACCATTGATCTAGCATATTTTTCTCACTCATTTTAATGAGTTCAAGACAGTGTATGTGGTTCTCTCTCATTTTATCTTCCTAATAACCATATGAGGAAGATTAGAGTGAGAGTATGACTGGGCCAAGGTCACCTTGCAAGCTTTCATGGCCAAATGGGGATTTGAACCTGTGGTGGGAAGGTAACAGCGTTCCGTGCGCCTTGGTGTTTAGTCATGCCGGCCACATGACCACGGAAACGTCTTCGGACAGCACTGGCTCTTCGGCTTTGAAATGGAGATGAGCACCGCAACCCTCGAGTCGGATTCGACTGGCTTTCGAGCAAGGGAACCTTTACCTTTACCTTGCCCCAGATCAAACTCCAGCACTGTAACTGCTACACTGCACTAGATCTCTGCCTGCTCATGCCTGTTTAATCCCGTCCCAGCTTCAGTCTCATGATCACATGGCTCTTGTGTAGCTGAGAACTAGAAAGGTATGGCTTGGGAGGAGAGCGTTAGGTAATGGTAGATAACAATGTCAGTGGACGTTTTCTCTTTGACCCGTGAGAAAGTCCATACTATGTGCAACTCTTTTGGGGAGGCCACTTTGGTTTAAGCGACATCTTAAGTGTGGAGAGCTCTTTGGCTGTTTTACTTTGCTTGGAGCCCTTTTTCTTGCTTGGAGCCTGTTTTCAGAAAGCTGTCCCTTACTGTTGCTCTTTCTCTCCCTGTTGTCCTCTCCAAGTCTTCCATCCAGTGGAATGCTCTTACTGCCGGTGTGAGAGCATGATGGGCTTCCGGTACCGATGCCAGCAGTGCCACAACTACCAGCTCTGTCAAAATTGTTTTTGGCGAGGCCACGCAAATGGCCCTCACAGCAACCAGCATCAGATGAAGGAGCATTCCTCTTGGGTAATCCTCCTTGAATGCCTTTTAATTTTTCCTACAGGAATGTTTTTTGTGTCTTTCTTTCCATCAAGTAGGTGTTCATGTGTTGGGTACTCTTCAGTTCATGGGTATAATGAAGAGGGTGGTTGAAGCAGGGCCTTAGCAGAGTTCTTCTGAGCCAGTTTGCCCTTTAGGCCTCATTGCCCTTCTATAAAAATCCAAACATCAATTTTGGTGGGATTCCAAGAGGTTTAATTGAGTGGTTACCCATGTTAGTCATATTCATTTGTCTTTATTTGTATTCATGTTTAACAGCCCACAAGCCATACACCAAGAGAAACATTTACGAATTAAAAACAACAGCAAAGAAAAGTTTAGCCACATCAACCCTTCAGGCTTTACAAAAGACACTCAGAAACAGTCTTAATTTATGCGTATCGGAAGGGGTTGAATATTTTAACAACCATTTCACAAGAAATTTCTCCCCGGCAACAGTGTGTTTAGAACAGTAAAGAAAAATATGCAGTAACCAACCACAACAAGGAGCAGTTACAAAAACATTGTTCTGAAGGAATACCTGCAAAGCAGACCTTCATCTGATCTGTAGGTAGCACATTACAGCGTATAAGTATATATATTCATTATTTTGTCTGCTAAGATCTGTTTCGAGATTGCTTGTGTGAGTTGCCTACACAGCCTGTACCAGCATAAGTTTCCAACTGGAGGCTGAGAAAAACGTCTTGCTGTCACAACCAAAGCTTTTTTTGTCCCAAAGCAAAGCAATGACTAGGGCTTACTAAAACCTGTGGACAGCCCAGTTCTCTAGCATCCCAGCTGCCTTCTTGCCATAAGATCTGCCTGTGCGCAAAACTACGTGAAGTATGCAGTCTTTTTCAAGAGGCAGAGTACAGTAATGAATTCCAAGGCAAAATGTGAAACCAAAACAAAGCATTTCCTCCCTTCCATCAACAACAGGTCAAAAAATGAGTGATCTGCACTTAACTTTTGGGCAACACATTTTAATGCTGTTTATTTTTTTTAAAAAAAATCTTCAGAACAAAAAGGGGAAAATGCCAGGTGATAGGTGACTGATTTATTATGCAAAGTCCCTATGCTTTTTGCCATGTAGGTTTCATCAGCGGAAATCTATATTAACATAACTTTATATTTAATGTAAAAACAGAAAGACCCCTTAATAAAAGTTATTCTAGAGTTATTAAAGTAGTATTTAAAAGACAGGATCAAAATCACTTTCAAAAATAGATACATATTGATCAGTTTACAATATAGGATAAATTAATTATACATTGGACATGAAGCAAGACAATGAAAATATATAATATATGAAGTAGATACTGAGAACATTTATCTAGTGCTGGAACTGTCCACAGCAATTAAATTATTTTACAGTGGAGGGTGATGCAATGTTTTTTATATATGCAGCAATTAGCTGAGCAAGGTCAGAAGTCCCAGATGGGAGTTTAACCTATGAGGGGCCAAAGTCTGCAACCTTAAAATCCATTGTTTCCTTTTTTAGCAGGACTTTTTCATTATGATGGTAAGATTTATATAAGCCCCTCCAAAATGAAATCAGTGGGTACATGTTATTTTTCCTTAAAATGCTGTACCAAAGGTGCGCCCAACTATTTTGCGAAGCATGTTGCTCCTATGTTCTGCTATACGAATCTTTAATTTTCTAGAGGTCTTCCCTATATATATCGTATTGCAAGAACATCTGATGGCATATACAACAGTATCTGCATGGTGTGAAGTTATTTAGAGCATTCTCTCTTTTTTTTGTCAAAGGGATTGATAAAACTTTTCCTACTTAAAAAAAGTCTTCACAATATTTCTGGTGCCATGCCTGCAAAAACAGGTTTGGCATCAAGGTCTAATTTTCGTGGAGATTCTTGTTATAGAAACAGGTGCCACAGAGATTGAGAAAGTAATGAATAAATGTGTAGAGCTTAGCAATGCCTTCCTAACCTCGAGGAGTGTAGGAGATAGTGGCAGATAATGGAAAGCTTCCTGCAAGTAGTGTCTTTTTGTGCCTGTGAACTGTCCTAAGATCATAGCGTTCCTCCTTGGCATGTCATCCATTTCCAGATGTTCTAAATTTTGGTAACAAAATGCAAAAATAAAATATGATGGTTTGGCATGAAGAAGACTGTAGCCTTGTAGGATTTTGTCCTGCCATTGTAGAGTCCACTCCTGTCATTTCCATATGAAATGTACACATTAAGAGGTCCTCAGGATCACTGCCTGGGAACCGATTGATGCACTTGTTTGGAATGAATCCCTCCTGTGAAACTGGGTGCTTTTGACTAGAGCAGAGCACCAAGGAACAAACTGAGAGTTTACATGTAGTTATAACAGGGTATGAACTCCTGGAACAGAGAGGTTCTTTGGACTAGCGAATTGGAGGCTGCAAAGACAGGCGGGATAGAGCAGGCTTTAAAGGAAGATATCCTCTAGATATCTTTTGACAGGAGGGATAGAGCACGCTTTAAAGGAAAATATCCTCTACATCTGTTTCATGTGTGGTAGCTTGTTGCTTTAAGGAAATCAGACATGCTTCTGGTTCTGGTGAAACTGATTGTGGGCCGAGTTGATTCCAGAACAGGTGACATGCAGAGGACTGAAGTCCTTCTCACAGGTACATGTGTGTGTTGGGAATTGGAAACCATCACAGCCCCAACTTGGAGCAGTTGTCTTGCTAGGAGGCAACAACAGTAGTCTGACTCTTTAAGCACTTGCCATCCTCTGCACAGCTGAGCAGCAGCAATGAGGAGACAGAGGAGGATTTGGCCAGAAGAGAATCAGCTACATCTGCCTAGGGAGTTGACTTCAGCCCCTTGAGGAGGAGGAGGAGGAGGGGGCTTCCTGTCTAGGAGGCTGGAAGAACAAACAGTACATGTGTGATTGGCAGGTGTTGGAGTGGTGCAAAGTGCCATCAAGTCATGACCCCATAGGGTTTTCAAGGCAAAAAGACGTAGCAATCTTGGCTTTCCTTGGTAGCCTCCCATCCAAGCACTAATCAGGGCTGACCCTGCTTAGCTTCAAAGATCTGATGGGATTGATCTAGTCTGGCACGAACAAAAAAGGGGGGGAGGGGAAAAGGGGAAAAGGAGGGGGGGAGAAAGAAAACTCAACCCCAAAAGCTGCTATGAATCCACAAGGGTTAAGCTGACACTAAATATTATAAACATACACAATTTATTCAGGTGTATACATTTTTAAAAAACTTAGACTCATTAAAAATATTCACATTCAGACATAAAAAACTTCTCAACATTCATACATAGATGGGTTAGTGCTGTGCAACTGAACCAAACGCGTTTCGGCCCCAAACAATAGTATACATTTATATGTATATTATTGTTGTATATGATAGGCCTCAGGTATAGCCAATTAAAGTCCACCAATACTTCTGGTAGCATAGATTTGCGTGAGTTGAATGTATGTCACTCCATCCTGTACAAATATAAATATATAAGGATACAACATCTGGCCTTATATTGCATATGTACTTAACATCTGATGTTAAAAAAATTTTTTTTGAATGTATGTCAAGTTTGTATTTTGGATTGTGACCACTGAGGAAGGCCCTTTGGGGCCAAAACGCGTTTGGTTCAGTTGCACAGCACTAACCCATCTATGTATGAATGTTGAGAAGTTTTTTATGTCTGAATGTGAATATTTTAATGAGTCTAAGTTTTTTAAAAATGTGTACACCTGAATAAATTTTGTATGTTTATAATATTTAGTGTCAGCTTAACCCTTGTGGATTCATATTGGTCTAGTCTGGACCATCCAGGTGGTTTGCAGAGCTGGGAACTGACTAATTAGGAAGTGCCAGTTTGTCAGAGGAGGCCCAGAAAGAGGAGAAAGGCTTGGGGTGCTTTACCCAACCTCCTTCCCTTTCACTCCAAGACCACTAGGCTCATTTTCCACTGTGCTGGATTCATCAGGTGAGCAGCGAGGGGCCCCTCACCCCTGTTCACAGTGTAGAATGCAAGACTTGCATGATAGATGTAGTAAAGATTGTCCTTACTGCCTCTGTGGGTAAAGTCTTGCACACCTTATGTACCACATATACTTGCTATAGGGACTTGGAGATGACAAGCCTTCTCTGCTTGGGGTTTTTTGCAACGGGACTGTCTTGATGATGGTTGGTTTGTTACAGTCTATGTGTGTCTGTGGAATACTCTGCTTTGTTTTCTTCCTGTATGATCCTACTATCAGAAGACAAATGTCCACTTGAGCTCTAAATACTCTGATGTGAGCTTCCTTAGGTGTACCATAAGATGCATGGTGTGTAATGAGTGTCTTGGTATGTGTAGAGCAGTGTTCCCCAATATAGTGCCATTGGCACCATGGCACTTGTCAGTACTTCCCTTGGCACCTGCTGGCCTTTCCAGAAAGTGGGTGGGGCCACTGTAAGGCAGGGCTTGTTACTGGCTTCCCTTATTCAGATGAAAGTTTTTCACTAGAGGATGAGGAAAACTGGTAAGCAACTGGTCTTAGTCCATGTGAGGTTCTGTTCTGCCATCAGTATTTCCCTCTTCTCAGGAGATGTGAGGATGGAGGTATTCTCTGTGGCTCTGCCTCTGGAGGCAGTCATTTTGGGTTTGTCTCTTCCTATGGAAGCTATTTGGGGGTGGTGCTGCTCACCACCTCCTCTGATAATCCCAAGGTGCTCGCAGTCTCAAAAAGGTTGTGAATGCCTGGTGTAGAGACACAAGCACAATGGAAAAGGAAGAAAAGCCCAGGCAGGGGGGCTTAACAAATGAGGAAATGCATCTTGATTTCAAGAATACTGAATACATGATAATCTGTGCAGAAAAACATCAAAGTATGAGGATTTTTAAATGCTAGCTGTTGTAATCATATGTGGGACTTCACAGCAAGAGAGTGAGGTATGTACATAATTGTTTACTTTCCTTTCTCAGAATCAAAGAGAGGCAAATTTAGCCCCTGATTTTGCTAGGGATCTGCAATTCCCTCTTGCATGTTCCACTTCT